CAACATTGCTCAACCCCCTTTTTATAAATGAGGAAACTGAGGCCCAGAGAGGTAAAGTGATTTCCCAGAGGTCATACAGAGGATACAAATTGAAGAGCTGGGATTTAAGCCTCCATCCTATGACTTTAAACTCATCATTCCTTCTACCACACCAACTTTCCAGATGGTGAAGGATGCTCAAAGATAGTAATGTGTAAGGAAGGGAAGGAATGGGGTGAAGTGGAGTGTCAGATGGGTTAGATGGCTTTATTCTGGGGAGGGGTGTTGCCTGGCTTTGATTAGTTTGGAAAGTTTCTTCCTTAAGAGGCAACTGGGTGGTGCAGTGGATAGAGGCCTGATGTCATAGTCAGGGAGACCTGAGTTCAAATCTAGCCTTGACACTTACTAGCTGTGTGACCCTGAGCAAGTCATTTAAACTTTGCCTGCCTCATTTTTTTCATCTGTAAAAAGGGGATAAGAACAGCACCTACCTTACTGGGTTGCTGTGAGGATCAAATGAGATGGTATTAGTAAAAAGTGCTTAGCACAGTACCTGGTACATAGTAGGCATTACATAAATGCCTGATTTCCACCGTTATTGAGATGCCAGTTGGCTTGAGGGAGAAGTCCCTTGTTTGCCCCCAATTTGGGTGTCAGAAATCTTGTTCTAGGGGCAACAAGGTGGTGCAGTGGATAGAGCACCAGCCCTGAAGTCAGGAAGACCTGAGTTCAAATCCAGCCTCAGACCAAACACTTGACACTTACTAGCTGTGTGACCCTGGGCAAGTCACTTAACCCCAATTGCCTAAAAACAAAAAAAACCCAGAAATCTTGTTCTAGACTCCTCACTGGGGCCCCTGGCACCATCTTTGATGGAAGGGAAGACCAGAGAGAGCTGGAAGCTCAGACATTTGCTTACAGGGTGAAGCATGGGGGCTAGGGGAGTGGGAACCAGGTGCCCTCCCTCTCTCCCCAACCTGGGCCCAAGGGCCCTCCCCTCCCCCCCAGAGGCTCCTCCTCCTCCATGACTGGGCCCAGGCCAGGCACTTGGCTTAGGCATCACTCAGCAGTTTTCCTCACCCTCCCCTCCCCTGCCTCCCACCCCTGGGGCTGAGGCAGGTCCAAGGATGGACTTGCCGAGGGGGGTAGAGGGAGAGGAGGAGTTTTCATTGATGCATCTCCCTTGGAAGATGTAAGCTCCCGGAGATAGTCTGGGGAGGGGGGAGAGGGCAAGGAGCCAGTGAGCCCCCAGGGATTCTACAATGTGGGGCAGTGGGGACTAGAGAGTGCAGGATGCTTTCTTGGGTTCCCCTAGCATTCTAGATAAAGAATAGAGACCTCAGAGATGTGCTAATGCAACCTCCCATCTAAAACAGGAATCCTTATACTGTTGTCTTCCATCATCTATTTGAACACTTCCAGTGATGGAGAGCTCACTACTTCTTCCCACCCCAGGCAACCAGTTCAGTTGTTAGACAGCTCTAGGTTAGTTGGTCAATCAGTCAGTCAATAAACAATTATTAGGTATCTACTATTTACCAATAAATTCCTTCTGCGCTGAGCTGATTATTGCTAAAGTCCTTCCAAAATCTCAGCAGGAAATGGGGGAAGGGGCTGCTCTCCTGCTTGTTGGCCTCCTTACGGGGCTCTATCCACCTGTCATGGTCCTAGATGGGAGGAGGATGTCAGTACAAGTCTAGCTAGAGGCGGACAGGCCCTTCAAAGGCTCTCTGGTCCTGGTACCTGCTTTATTGCTGGACTAATGATGGTGATTAGCCCAGCAGGTGCTGCTGCTGAGAATGTTGTTTTCTGAATAGCTGGGTGAGGCCTGGCAGCCTGAGCCCAAGGGAGCACATAAGCCTGGCAACCTGAACTCAAGAGAACCCCCAGGTCCAGCCACCCTGAACCAACCCAGGGCCGGCTGTTTCTGCCATATCCACAGATCTCCCAACCATGGAGGAAGGGAAGAGCTGGAGTTCCTAGGTTGGTGTCCACTTCCCTCCCCCACCCCCATACTGGCAGGATGCAGGGAACAATCCTCTGTTCCCCCAGGTGCTTGTTGTGTGCCATTAACTGGGTATTTTCTTGCGTGTCCCCCCCACCCCCATCCTCTTTCCCCTGCCTGCCTTGGGAGAGATACTGGAGCTCCTTGGAAGCAGTGGGCTGACTCCCTTAGAGAAGAGTGACTTTGTCTTCTTTCGGGGACTGTATCCTTAGAGGGACTGGGGACAGTGGGCAGGGATTGGGAGTACCCATATTTAAAGTGTAACCACTTTTCAAAAACTTGTCTAATGCTAGATGAACTGATTTTAACCTAATTTGGGGGAGATCAAGGGAGGCGCTTTGTTTTTTCAACCATGGGTATATGTTTGGCTTACAGTTTGGGGGCTGCTCCTAAGGAGACCCCAGAATGGGGTAAGCCCACTATACTGTGAGGTTATGGGAATTGTTCCTTTTGGGCATAGTGGTGATAATAAGGGAGGGGGGTTGTGTGAAAATGGAGAATCCAAACCTGGGAAAGAGGAGTGAGGGTGGGAATACTCTATCCGTAGCATGGGGGCTGTCTCCTAAGGGGGTAGGGTTCCCAGGTGTGGCTGTGTCTCTGAGGTAGAGGTGGGGGAAGTAATTTATATCCCCGTACTTCATGGGTGAGGAATGCCAGCCCCCAGGGACCAAGGACAGCTGGCTCCAGAGAACTCACTTCTCTGGGAATCTTGTGGCAAGTACTGTCAGGATGCCCTCCTATTACCCTCAGGGGACAGCTGCATCCTCCCCGTCTCAGCAGCCCCCTCCCTTCTCACCTCTTCTGTCTTGTCCTCCCCCAGGCCCATCTCTCCCCCTCCGTCCAGTCCCCATCAGACACACACCCTCCTCGCCCAGCTTCTGCTGGAAGTGGTTAAACTGTGCTATTCCATGCTAAGGCGTGGGAGTCTGGTGCAAAGGATTTCTCAGGTTGCTGCAGGGATCTGGGGTCTCACCTGCTTTCCTGTTGATCCCTGTTCCCCTTCCTCACCCTATCACAACTAGAGAGCATCAGGATGGACAATCGGGATGGGATGCTTTTGGAGGCTCCTTAAAAGGGAGGAGTGCGCTTAAAAATGATGTTGGCCAGCGAAATACAGCAAGTGACCAATATGGTAGACGTAAGAATGGACCTCCGGTTGGTGAGAGAAGTAACAGACAGTAAGAGTAACAGATGGTAAGAGGGAAGGAATCTGGGGGCCGGCAGGGGGTAAGGGATTAGGTGGAACAGCTGCCTGGCCTCGGGTCTGTTCTGAGACATTTTTATAGGCTCGGGGATCTAGGGATGGAAGTGACTTCAGAGGGCAATCCTCTAATTTTATACAGGAGGAAACTGAGGCTTGGGGAGGTGAAGTAACATCTCAAGGTCACAAAGATGGGATTTAAAGTCTAGAGACAGTGCTCTTTCCCTTGCGATGCTTCAAATCTGGACTATAGCAACCCAGATTCAAATCTCTCTATACCTTGGTTTCCTCATCTGTAAAAATGGGGAGGGTGTGGGTAGATCAGATAGACTCTAAGGTTTTTTTCTGGTTCTAAAATCCCTGAGTCTAGGCCGAGCCTCAGTTTCCTCTTCTGTAAAATGGGCATAATTCAGAGCACAGGCTACTTTAGGGAAGTCCTTGGCAAACCTCAAAGGGTCTGACATGTTTTCTCTAACTTCTCTCCTTCCTTCTCCTGTTCTGGCGCAGGGAAGCAGGAAAGGGGCTGCCTCGCAAACCATCATGCCCCTTCCTTTGGGTGGCACTACCTCCCCTCCCTGCCCAGGACCGGTTTTACCAGCCTGAGAAAGGGTCCGGATGACGGCGCTCGCTGGAGCTGGCAGGGATGGCGGGTTTTATGTAAATGGTGAGGGAGTGCTCTGGGAAGGGGTAGGCTGGTTTTCCCAAAGACAGGCAGGGACCGGCAGCTCCCAATTAGCCCGGCTGTGGTGATGTCAGCCCTGCTTTTCTTGGGTGGCTGCGCCTACTCTAGTTGGCCCTGGCAACAGTGCCAGGCCTTACCTTCTCTCTGTGCTATGGGTGCCAGGGGGAGAGGCTGGCATGGGGGCAGAGGGAGGGGCTGCACACCCCCACAGTTTTGGGCCAACTGGTGTCCAAGGGCTCAGACCTGCTGCTCTGATCTCCTGCACCCCCAACAGGTCAAGTTTGCTAAGGGCAAGCGAGTCCTCCCCACCTCCCCTGGCTTCCCTTGGGTCATCTTTCCCTGGGGCAGCTGCCTGGGAGGGTGGGTGACTTGTGGTGAGGCTGAACTGATTTCCTGAATCTTGGTGCAGTGGGAAAAGTGCTAAATTTGGAGTTAGAGGCCCTGGGTTTGAATCCCACTTTGACCATTTACTAGCTGTGTGATGCTGGGCAAGCTATTTCTCTCTGAGCCTCAGTTTCCTCATCCGTAAAATGAGGAGTTGGGCTAGGTGACTTCTAAGGACCCTTTCAGCCCCAAAGCCTATAATCCTACGACTGAGAACAAGCCCAGTAGAGCCAGCACCTTCCCCTCCACTCTTTCTCTCCTCCAGCTCTTATCTCTCCCCTCTAGCCCCAAGTTCTGGGATAGATTTTTAGATCTAAAAGGACCTTTAGAAGTCATCAAGTCCAATCTCTTCAGATTAAAAAGTGAGGTCAAAGAAATTAAGGTTCCTCAAGGGCCCGTCTGTGAGTAAACTGACACACAGAGAAGTTGTGATTTGCCCAAATTGCCCCAGGGATTAAATGGTGAAGGCAAGATACGAACCTGGGTCCTCTGACTTGTGAGGCAGAACTCTTCCCAGTGACCTCTGCTGGTCCCCTAGAGAAGGCTCCAGACTAGATCAAGGGCTCTCTAACCTCAGGACAAGGCATTCTCTTCCCCTACCCCCACCCCTACGACTGCCCAGGCCCTCCCAACTCTGGGGCCAACCTGCAGGCTGACTTGCTCAGAGAGAGATGCTGGGGGTAGTCCTTTAAATGAGTGCAGAGTCTGCAATATGGAAAAGTCTTTAATGAGGCAAATCCTCTGTCCCTTCTCTCCCACCCTACCCCCAGACTCTTTAAGAGAGGAACTGTGCAGCCAGGTGCTGGAATTGCTAAGCTCTTTGCAGAGGGGCTGAAACTCGAGTCACTCGGGTCCTGGGGACTTCCAACCTGACCCTCCCCAGAGTCTCAATAAATATAATCAAAAGGGGCCGCAGCCATGTCTTTTGAGAAACCAAAGGAAGCATTGGCACCAAACACCCTCATTCAGCTATCACACAGACAGACATAAACACACATACAGGTGTGCCGTGCAACCACACCACGTCGTGTGAGCACACGTGCCCTCTGACATACATACATGTTATATAACATGAACATACGTGCCCATACACACCAATGCTGGGACTACCTCTTCACCATACCCAGCTCTGCCCAGACACTGAGGTTGAAAGGCCCGGGAATGTGGGTTCAATGAGCATCACTGGCTTCTCTCTGAGCAGACTCCCTCCCCGGGGAGGCTAAGGATCGATGAAGCTTGTGTTGAACTGGTTATAGACGTTGCAAGAGGTGGTGATGTTGGACTGGGCCCAGTCGGGGAAATGGTCCAGTTGAAAGATGGGGTAGCCCCACGTATTGACGGCCAGTGTGATTGTCAGCACGCCAATGATATTGAGAAGGAATCCTGCTCTGGCCTGGGGGACAGGAGAGAGATGGCAGGGCTCAGTGAGTGGCTCAGTGGGATTCCCATTCCCGTTAGAATTATGTTAGAATGTAAGGTCCCTGAGGGCAGGGAGTGTCTTTGCTTTTCTTGGCATCCCTAGGGCTTAGCTTCCTAACTTGTTGACTGATTGATTGAATGGAGGGGGGGAGGTGGGATCAGAGAATCACAGATTTAGAATTGGAAAGTACCTTACAACTGCAGTAGATAGAGCCTTGGGGCAGCTAGATGGCACAGTGGATAGAGTGCCAGGCTTGGAGTCAGGAAGACTCATCTTTCTCAGACACTTACTAGCTGTGTGACCTTGGGCAAGTCACTTCACCCTGTTTGCCTCAGTTTCCTCATCTGTAAAATGAGCTGGAGAAGGAAATGGCAAACTACTCCAATATCTCTGCCGAGAAAACCCCAAAATGGGGTCACAAAGAGTTGGATAAGACTGAAAAACAACAGATAGAGCCCTGGGCTGGGAGTCAGGAAGACCTGAATTCAAGTTCAACCCCAGTCACTCACTAGCTTATTAATTAGCAAGTTGCTTGATGTCTGTCTGCCTTCCTTTCTTCAACTGTAAAATGGGAATAAAAATGAGACCTCCCTAATAGGGTTGTTGTGAAGATCAAATGAAATAATATTTATTCAGTACTTAGCACAGTGCCTGACGCACAGAAGGCACTTAACAAATGCTTGTTTCCTTCCTTCCTGAGAGGCCACTCCCTAAGCCATTTTACAGATGCAGAAACTGAGGTACAGAGATATTAAATGATTTGTCCTGGGTTTGGAAACCAATAGGTGCCTGAGGCAGGATTGGAATTCAGGACCTCATCACTTCAAGTCTAGGGGAGGAATGCAAACGCAGCTGGGCCACAGAGGAGGCAGTTGCTGCTGTCCCCCCACAGGAAAGGGGGCAGATTCTTCCCTGAATAACACCTGGACACGTGCCTCTGTGCGAGAAGTTGCTTAGGATCCGTTCCATTGGCTCGGGAAGAGACAAGCCTCTGCTTCCCTCAGGGAGGTCCTGTGGGAAAACTGTTCCAGGGTAACCCCACAACTAAATAGCTAACAACTAACCTTTGCCCAACACTTTTACGCTTTCCAAAGTGTGCTATCTCACTTGAGCCTCACAACAACCCAGTGGGGTGAAATAAGTGCTATTATTACGCCCAATTTACAGGTGAGGAAACAGACGCTAAGATAAGTTAAATGACTTGCTCAGGGTCACACACAGCCACTAAGTATCTGAGGCAGGCCTCTAACTTCTTGACTCCAAATCCAGTGCTCTGTTCACTACACCAGCGAGGAAGTCTAAGAACCGGTGTCTGCCTGCCTGGTAAGATCATTCAGTCTTTCCTCAGTCTTCTCTTCCTTGGGATAAGTAACCCTAATGATTTGACTTTTTCATTGGGGATGGTAGTCTATATCCCAGTCTACATCTCTATGTTTCCCCTGAACCCTTTCCAAGTACCCCAGATGCCTCTCAAAGTCAAGATAGTCAAGATGTATCCAGAGGCAGGGATTTTTAATCATGGTCTGGAGAGAAACAAAAATACTGCCCTGCCTGGGAATGGGCTCAGGGTAGAAGTCAGGTACTTTGTAGAATCCTTTCCTATAGGATCCCATCCCACCTCATCCTATCCTTTCTCATCTCTTCTCATACCATCTCACAAAGACTTATTTTACAGATGAAGAAACTAAGCCTGAGGGAGGTGAAATACGTTGACCACCAAGGTCACCCAGAGAGAGTAGGTGTCAGAGGTGGGATTTGAACCCACAGCCAGTTCAGCACTCTTTGGACTGTTCTGTGCTGTACTTTTTGGAGAGGGGAGGAAAGTGGACTCCCTTCCTCTCCCCTACTGAGGTATTCTTTGCCCCCCTCCCCTTCCCTTTCATCTTAATCTGGGCCCTGAGAATGGGATCTTTTCATGTCTTTTATCAATCAGTTGACAAAGGCTTATTAAGTGTATGGACCAGGCACCCTGTTAAAAACTGGGAGACAAAGAAAGGCAAAAACAGTGCCCCCTCCAAGTAGTTTGCATTCTAATGGGGGAGATAATGTGTACATGAATCGATATAGACAAAAAGTAGGTGGAAGGGGGGAAGGGAAAAGCATCATATAGAACATTTGAGCCGAGTCGGGTATCCAGCTTGTGGTCTACTACGACCTTCTGTTTCCACCTCTTTCCTCCACTATTAGCTCTAGCCTGGAGGAAGAGAGAGAATGGAAGTGTGTGTGTGTGTGTGTGTGTGTGTGTGTGTAGGAGGGGGCAGCTTCTCCCACCCTGGTTTCTCCTTCCCTACTCACCATGTCACACACTTTGAGCTGCCCAAAGGAGAAGACGATGGCATTAGGTGGAGTGGCCACAGGAAGCATGAAGGCCAGAGAGGATGACATGGTACAGGGAAGCATAACATAGAGTGGGTTGAGGCAGATGGCCTGGGCCTAGCAGGGAAGACAAAGGGAAGGAGAGGTCAGAACAACCAGGGAATGGGAGGGAAGAAACAAAAACATCCTAGCCTTGGCCTCACAAAGGTGAGGTGGGGAGGGGGCAGGGAGGGGAAAGAGGTCTGTCCGTACCACCTGCTCCCATCCCATGATTTCACAGGTGAGAGAGGAGACTTGATGGGGAGTCCTCGAAAGTGCCAGAGCAAGGTGGAGGTGGGACCAGCTTGGGTCCTGTGTCCTCTGCCCATGTGGGCAGAGCCCCTTGGGTCAGGGCTGAAGCTCTCAGGAGGGCTCTGGGGCTTGTTCTCCACTTAAGAGGGGCCCTTCACCTCTCTGGGCCTTAGATCTCAAGAGGATGACTACACTGACCTGCCCTTCAGGTGTGGAGAGGGGAGGGGCCCATAAAACTGATCTCAAAGGGACCACAGGGATTCCATCAAAGGGCTGTGGGAACGCTCCCTGAAAGGGCTGGGGCCCAGGGACGCCCCTGGTGAGAAATCTCACCTGGTCATTTTGGGGGTGACCAAGACTCATATTGGGAGGGGTTGGGAGAGGGGGATGACAGAACAACCCACTAGATTCTCATCTGGTGACGTCAGACAGGACAGGGTAAGGGGTGGAGGTGAGTCAGGGGCCAAAGAGGCAGGCATCCAGAGGTCATCGGGGCCTGGCGGCTCGAGGAGGCTAGGAATTCTCCACTTTTTTCCATAAACTGAGTATGTGGCAGGGTCCTGCCCCTCAGTGTAGACACTCAGAGATCCAGACAGGCCTGGGGTGAGGGACGTGAGGGAAGAGGGGCTTCTAAAAGCCAGGCTAGGAAGAGGTATGGGGGCGAAGAGGGTCTTACCATGGAAGCCAGGATGGGCAGAAAGAGGGTGGTGGTGGCCACATTGCTGGTGCATTCGGTGAAGACAGCCACAAGGAGACAAAGGATGAAGACGATGGCTGGAGAAGGGATGCTTTGAAGAGGAGTCAGCTTGTTTCCCAGCCACTCGGACAGGCCTGATACCTATGGGGAGAAAGGAATGGGAAGAGACACGGTGCTGACCCAAGGAGCTAGGAGAATGTGGTCCCCTCATTCAGGAGCCCTGGGGTGGGCCAAGATGCTGTGTGCCCTTGACAAAATTGCTTTGTCTCTCTGAGCTTTGGCATGACAAAGCCTTATTCTCCTTCCCTGTTGGTTTTTTTTCCCCCCAAGAAAAGTAGGCAATGGGAATCTTGCTTGAATTTTGGCAGGTCAGGAAGTCAGGCCCACTGGCTTGAGTGAGAAGAGAGAACAGGCTGGGATTCCAGGCCCCTCCTTCCTCCCTGACCCTTCCTTGACCTAGGAGCAATTGGGACAGAGGAAGACCAAAATATTATTGGAGGTAGGATCCCAGACTGAATATTTCTGGAAAGACTTCTTAGGACAATGGAAAACATTTTAATGCAGAAACAAAATGGCAGTGGTAAGGGGGGAAGAGATGGGAAAAAGATAATCTTTTCAAAGGGGGATCATCTGGTTGTGTTTGCCTTGCTCCCCTTGCCATCATCCTTGTGTTAGTAGCGACTCCTGCCCTCCCCCCAGCTCCCCTTTGACTTTGGGTACGTGGAGCACTGGAGGCTGAGCTTTGGGGGAAGGAGAATGAGCGCTGTATGAGCTGGTCTCTTAAGCAGGAAGGGAAAGGACCCCATCCTGCAGGGAGACCTTCTCTATCCATCCTTGTCATCTTCCCTCAGCCCCCCCGCCCCTAGAAACTGTTCTAGCTGTCTCCCTGCCCCTGCAACTCAGAGAGAAAAGAATTACTGGGACCATTGAAAGTTGGGTCCATGCCTCGAAATGCCACCCTTCTGCCATCAAACACACAGGCTCCCCCACTGTGCAATGAGGAGGGTGGTGGGGACTGGCTGCTGTCTAAGGTCCTCGGAGCACAGCGTTCCTAGCCGTGGGCTCTCTGAGGAAGTCCCCTTTGTCCTGGTCCGTGGTGGGACAGACAAGGAGCTCTGGGCTTAGGGGGAGGCTGAATCAGGGAGCCTCCTTTCCTCCCAGCTGGCTCAGGTGGTCCCTTGAGGGGCTGCAGGGGACCGTGGGATCAGATCCCAGGGCCATGAAGGACTGGTGCAAGCTGAGTGTGATTTTGTCGCCCCCTCGTGTCCGTAGCAGGCAATGTGGCCGCTCCAGCTTAACAAAGAAAGCAATCCTATGAGCTGGGTCAGCATTGGGTGGGATGGGGGGAAGGGTATAATTTCAACATTATTGGATTAAGCTGAGCAAGAGGTCCCTGAACCTGACCTTCTGATTCCAGAGAACAAGTTCATGCTTTCTTTTTCTGGAGGCAGCTGGGTGGCGCAGTGGATGGAGTGCAGCATGTGGGGTCGGTCAGGAAGAACTGAGTTCAAATTCTGCCTCAGACACTTACTATCTAGGTGACCCTGGGTAAGTCTTTTTGTGTGCCTCAGTTTCCTCATATGCTGAATGGGGATAATAATAGCACCTACTTCATAGGGTTGTTGTGAGGACCAAATGAGATACCAAGTATAAAAATGCTTTTTCAAACCTTAAAGGGCTATGTTAATGCTTCTTGTTGTTCAGTTGTGTTTGACTCTTTGTGACCCTGTTTGGGGTTTTCTTGGCAGAGACACTGGAGTGGTTTGCCATTTCCCTCTCCAGCTCATTTGACAGAGGAGAAAACTGAGGCAAACAGGAATAAGTGACTTGACCAGGGTCACACAGCTAGTAAATGTCTAGGGCTGGATTTGAACTCAAGTTTAGGCCCCGTGCTCTATCCGTTGGGACATCTAACCACCCCAAAAGGGCTTTTATGAAGAGCGGGTGAGGAAGGAGTGTATTAGAGTGTATAAGGTCATTTTTGCTGTTGTTTCATCGCATTCAACTCGTCATGACCCGTTTCGGGGTTTTCTTAGCAGAGATATCAGTGTGATTTTGCCATTTCCTTCTCCAGCTCATTTTACAGATGAGGAAACTGAGGCAAGCAGGTTAAGTGATTTGTCCAGTTGTGCCCCACACAGCTAGTAAGTATCTGAGAGTACCAGATTTGAACCCAGAAAGGGGAGTCTTTCTGAATCTGGGGGCCCAGCTCCGCTGCGCCACCTAGCCGCCTTAATATAAACTACACTAATGAAATCACAAGTGTGGACATCATGTACACACACACGTATAATCCTTACACATATAATACACATGCACATGTAACATGTATATGACATACACGACACATAACATTGTAGGCTATAATCAAATTACTTTTCCTCGTCCCCCCAAAACTTCTAACTTCTGAACAGAAGTTCGTTAGGGAGCTGATGGGGGCGGGGGTGGGGGGTGCCTACCTCACTGCCCCTGGCCAGGGCGAAGCCTCCGCCCAGCAGGAAGACAATATTCCAGGGCATTTTCTTATTCACGGTATTCCAGTTGAGGAGGGCGGCTGGGGCCTTCAACTTCCCCTGGGTACCTGGTCCCCAAGGAGAGGAGTTGGATCATTGAAAAAGCCCCCAGATGACATGTTCCCTTCTCCCCCAGTCCTGTTTTATTCTCTCTGCCTAGAGATTGGGAAGGGCACCAGAGCTTCATTCCTTCCATTGTAATGGAGTAGGAAAAGGACCACTGAGCTGGGACCTAGAAGACTCGGTTCTAGTGCCCACCCACCTACAAGTAACTGTATGTGCCCATCACTTTGCTGGGCCTTTGTTTACGTCTTCTGTAAAATGAGGACCTTACCTACCTAAAGGTGGGAGGGAGACCCAGTGCAGATCAGATGACTTGGAGGTCCCTTCCTTCTGATTTCTGCCCCACTTCTCCTTCCCCACCATCCCCTTTTCTTCCTCCCTCCTCCACCACCAAATGCTTACCCTGCTGCTGGGAGAAGCCAGGGAACTCGGAAGGTATGATAAATAAGATCATGCTGAGGAAGAAGGCCACGGTGCCGTCTGAGAGCATACTACAAAGGGCAGTGGGTAAGCAATGAGTGCAAAGGCTTGGGGAAGGAGGGCAGTTAGGAGGGCCTATGGAGAAGGGTGTCAGTGCAGTTGGGCTCTGGCCTCTCCCCCTTAATCTCTCTATCCAACCCATCCTTCTGAGGCTCACATAAAGTCTCACACACATACATAATGTGCCTTCCTCTGCTCCAAATTCCTCTAGTTTACTGTGCATAGTAATCATGCACCTCCTTATCTCCACAGCTAGACTGTGAACTCGATGAAGGCAGGCACCACACCCGGTACCTGGGCAATCTTTGTATTGCCTAGGAGGCCAGCGTAATAGACTGTAATGTAATGTATTAAAGGTTAGACCTCGAGCCAAAAGGTTTGAGTTTGAACTCAACATTTACCAGCTGTATGATCACAGGCAAGTTGTTTAACCTCTTTCTGAGCCTCAGTTTCCTCATCTGTAAAAGGAGGCTAACAATGTTTGCCTTATCTATATTGGGAAGGCACTGAGAGGCCAAGTGCTTTGTAAAATTCAAATAGCTTTAGACATGTGAGATCCCGACTCTCCATCAGGATGAGTGGCTGGTTAACTGATTGACTCAGTCAACTGATTGATTCAGTCCAAGCCTTGCCTCCTCCAGGTAGCCTTCCCAGTTTGAGGCCCACCACAAGGTCTCCTCTTTTACTCAGGCCTTCTCAGAAGCTGGGACTTTAGCTGGCAGGATATTCATTCTCACCTTTTGATCTGCTGTTCTGCACCTGTGGCTTTCTGTGAGCCCATTGGGCTCCCTGATGCTGGACCTGTCTCCTCCTGTATTATCCTTCCCTGGCATGCTGTAGCAGTTGATAGCCACCCCTTGGTATCTGACTGTCAGTCAACAAACATTTATTAAGCATCTATTACGTGCAGATGGAGTGGTAAGTACTGAGCATACGAAGCATGGCAAAAATATAGTGCCTGCCCTCAAGATCCTCAGTCTAATGGAACATGCAAACAAGTATATACATACAAGGTACATATAGTTATATATATAATATATGTATATGTGTATGTGTATGTGTATATATGCATGTATGAGTATATACACACATCCATATGCATACGCATACATACATGAAGGCATTAGCAGTGGGGTGGTGGGGGTGGTAGAGGGGACATTGAGAAAGGCCTGCTGCAGATGGTGGGATCTGATTGGGCCCAAGAATTTGCCTGAACTGAACCAGAGGGAATTTAAAAGTATTTCCCCTTCTTCAACTGGCCACCTCAACAGCCTGTCCCCCAGTCCCTTTCCAGGGTTATCTTCCATTCCTCTTCTTCACATACTGTATCTTCCAACCAAACTGACCTCCTTGCTTTCCCCAGAACTGGGTGTTTCATCTCCTACTTCTGTTTTTGTAGAGGCTGCCCCTGAACCTGGGACCCACTCCTTTCTCATCTCCTTCTCTAGGAATTCCTTGTTTCTTTAAAGGTACAACCAAGGTATCTTGACTGATGTCCCTAAATTGTTACTCTTGTAGCCAACAAGATAAAAGGCTGTAAGAATTTTAAAAGCACTATATAAATGTTGGTTATTATTATAATTATGAGAGTGCTCTTCCCTTCTCAAATTACCTTGTATTTATTCATGTGTTGTACCCTCCCAGTGAAATGTAAGCTCCTGGAGGGCTGTCTTGGCTTTGTATTCATGGTGCCTGGCACACAGTAGGCTTTTCATAAATGTTTATTAAATCAAAACAAATTGAACCTCTCTGCCCCCACCTCCTAACCCATCCCTCCTCCAGCCCCTCATCCCTGACACTCTACCCCCAACTCCATCTCTTCCCTCCTATCCTATAAGACTTTTTTGGGTTGGAGATTCATCTAGGGAAGCCCATGGACCCCTCTTTATATTTTAGAGTACATTAAATACAAAGGAAACCAATTATATTGAAATACAGTTATCAAAATCTTAAGAAAAAACCCAAGTATTAAGCATTAATATTGAAGTATTAAAAGCCAAGTATTGAGAAAACGACCAAGTTCACGGATCCCAGATTAAGAGCCCCAGCCCTAGACAGTGTACGAAGTCCTCTTCAGCTCTGTCTCTGGGATCTCCTCATCGGGTTCTCTGTCTCTGAAGCCTTCCTTGATTTCCATGACCATCACTTCTGGGCAGTCCCTCCCCATGTCTAGCATCCCTCCTTCCTTCCCTGTGGCAGGAGGATGCCCATTGGGCTGCAGCTTGGCGGAATGTGCCTGCTCACTCTTGGGACTGGTCCTGTCATCTTCCTCAAGGCCCTCCGTCATCCCCTTCCCTCACCCCCAAGCACGAGGCCTCCTGCCCACGTCTCACCTTTCTCCCTTGTGGTTAGGAAAGGCCACATTGCCCCAACCAGGGAAGAAGCCCGGCTCTCGGGTGAACCACAGCACCACCAGGAGAAAGAACAGGAAGGTGACGGCTTTCTCAGCAAAGCTCATGGGGCCCAGCTTCTTATGTTCCGCCTGGATGACTTGGTAGGCCGCTCGCTCCTGTTCAAGAGTCTTATCTCCGCAGCTGAAATTCTTCCGGAAGCTACAGGCAAAGGGACATATTCATCCTCATGTATCCTCAATCAGAACTGCTCCAAGAGCAAGGCTGGGATTATCTCGTTAATGTTCCCATTTCATAGACCAAAGCCAAAGCGGGGAAATGACTCCCCCAAGGTCACACAGCAAGCCATTGGCTTGTCTCCTGATGTTTTCTCCTTCTTAAAGGGAGCCAACAGTTTGTTTGTGTCCTGGATGTCCTGGGCAGACAATCCGGTGAAGCCTATGGTTCCCTTCTCAGAATCATGTTTTTAAATGAATGAAATTGAATGCATAAGATCTACAAAGGCAGCCAATTATACTGTTTATCAAATTACGTACTTTTACTAGGATCACACTACAAATACACAAGATTACAAAGGAAACCATTAATATCGTTACCAACATTTATTTTTAAAAAAAGTTCATGAACCCAGGTCAGAAACTATTATTGTCTAGGAGAAAGGTCATAGGGTTCAAAGGTGGATAGTTCTATAACATCTACAACAACTGCTTTGTTATACTGAGGCTAGAACTGAGGCCCACATCACACCGCTAGCAAAGAGCACAGTCAGGATTTGAATTCAAGACCTCTCACTTCAAATTGAATACTCTTATCATTAAGATCACAATGTAAAGTGAGCCTGTCCCTAAGAGTAGAAGGCAGGCCTTGGGGAGGTTACAAGGGGAAGAGAAAGAAGGAAGGCCTTTTGATGAATGGACTCATCTTTGGAGACTTTCAAAGTCTCCCTCCCTCTTTCTTCCTTCTTCCCTTTTTTCCTTCCTTCTTCCCTTCCTCCTTCTCTTCCTTCCTTCTTTCTTTCCTTCTTCCTTCCTCTTTTCTTTCGTTCTTCCCTTCCTCCCTTCCTTCTTTCTTTCGTTCTTCCCTTCCCTCCTTTCCTTCTTTCTTTCCTTCCTTCCCTTCCTTCCTTCCTTCTTCCTTCCCTTCCTTTTTTCCTTTCCTTCTCTTCCTTTCTTCCTTCCCTTCCTTCCTTCTTTCAGATTATTCCTTCTATTCCCTTCTCAAGTTCATAAAATCTTGGAACTATAGTTAGAACTGAAGGAAATTGCAGATTATTATCCACCAACCAATTCAGGGGCCGCTAGGTGGCGCCATAGTGCACAGCATGTGGGGCCTGGAGTCAAATATGGCTTCAGACACTTACTAGCTGTGTGACCCTGGGCAAGTCACTTCACCCTGGGTGCCTCAGTTTCTTCATCTGTAAAATGAGCTGGAGAAGGAAATGGCAAACCGCTCCAAATGGGGTCACAAAGAGTCAGAAATGACTGAACAGTAACAACCACCTCTTTCATTTTACAGGGGCTGGACTCTGAAGGGAGGGAGCCAAGAGCCTGGTTTCAAACACTGCTTCTTCTGGCTCCGAATGCAGGGCTATTTTTATTATTTATGGTATCTTAATTATAGTAACATTTATCATAAGATGGGAAGAGCTACTATACTCAGAATGTAGAATGGCCAGCCCAGTGTGGGCATCCTAAAATCAACTTGGGGATTTTTAGGGATGGAAGATGCTGTTTTTGTTTGAGGTCACGAGACAGCTGGGCCTTCCAGCTCTGAGAGGATTGCTATGGGCCAAGCTAGGGCAGGGGAACCACAGCTACAAAAATAAATTTAGAAGTTATAATTCATCCATTCTGGGCTTGGCTTATTTTCTTCTAAAATGATATTTAATACAAGAATACATAATGCAATAATTACATGTTATCATTTATTTTGTGGTGCATAGTTATTATATGTTTATCCAAACTTATGGTTTTATATCATATATTTATATAAAATTATTGCTTTATGTTATACATTTATATAAATTATTTTATATTATATATTTATTGCATATCACACAAATTATTATTTTACACTGCATATTATATATTTATAGAAGACTATTATTTTATATTGCATATTTGTTATATATTTATGTAAAATAAATTGTTTTATTTTTAATTTTCTTCTATTCATCTTACCCTAGGGTATTATAAGTAGTTAGATGATACAATGGATACAGGACTACATATGGAATTCAAATCCAGCCTCAGACACTTGCTAGCTGTGTGATTCTTAGCAAGTCACTTGACCTCTGTTTGTCTCAGTTTCCTCATATATAAAATCATGATAATAAGGTTTGTTGTGAGGGTAAAATTAGATAATCTTTGTGAAGTGCTTTGCAAACCTCAAAGTGCCAAATGAATGCTGCTTGTTATTATTATTACTATTTCTTTTTTAAAAATAAGTTTTTGTGGATATCTTTTGTTTTCACATCGCCTAAATATCTCTCTGCATTCCTCTACTTCCCCTTTCTGAGACCCATCCCATACAATAAAAAATTAGTTGCTGTTTCTTTAATAGGACCCTATTTAGATTTAGAGATGGGAATGACCTTAAAGGTCATCTAGTTCAACCCATTCTACAGAAGAGGGAACCTAGGCAGAGAGTAGTTAAGTGGCTTGCCTCATATCACACAGGTAACAGTGATAAAGACAGGATTTGAACCCAGATCCTCTGACGCCAAGGCCAGTGTTCTTTCCGCTGTATGACACTGACTTTGTATGTTCCTAGTTGCTTTTAAAAATAAGAGACGGAAGAGGTCCTTTTGTCTGTAGCACATAGGGGGCAGAGGGAAATAGATGCTGGAATGCTCAGGAACTGACTGCCCAGAAATAGGGGCAGTCCTGGTGAGGTGGGGCAGGCTTATTGAGTCCGTGGTACTGAGGAAGGCTGAGGCTGGTGGATCCCTTGAGTTTAGGGGGTTCTGACCACACTCAGCCTGGCACTAATATGGGGAGCCCTGGGGGAGGGGTGGTTTGGTCCAGAGCAGAAGCAGAGGAGGTCAGCGCTTCCCTGCTGACCAGCACTAGGGTTCAGGCTCCTGAGTGGCCTGGGTAAGATAGGAAGACTCAGTCTCAAAGAAATGGGGAGGATAGGCAGCGGAAAAGGGGTGGGTAATTATAACAGAGTATAGCAAGTTCTTGGATCCAGCTCACTAAATCTGTTTGTTCTAGGCGTTCGATGAGCTGGGGAGTTAAGTAAGAACACCTTGGGGGTCAAAGACAATGGTCTCCTGGATGGCTCCAAGAAAGGGCACCTATCCTAGGCCAGAGGCCCAGCCACAGCTTTCAATCCTGATTGTAATTTGGCTTGGGAAAGGTGTGGGAGGTGGAAGCTTTTCCCAGGCCTCATTTGTGCCCTTTGTAGAAAGGCAGCGAAAGTGGAAATTTGGAACTCAGGGACCTGATTTTGAAGTTCAGCTTAGCCATTTAGTACTACCAAGTAATTTTATTTAACCCATCCTGGGTCTCAGTGTTCTCACCTATAAAATGGGAGAGAGAGGGACTGGATTGAATGATCTCTATGGCCCCTTCCAGGCTCTAAATCCTGTGATTCTGTGTCGGTTCAGAGCCCAGGCTTGACTATCAATCACACTGGGATCTGAAGTCCTGGCTTTGACTGCAAAAATGATCTGTTTAGTTGTGGGCAAGCTATAAATCGCCTCTCTGGCCTTCAGTCTCCTCACCGGTAAAATGGGGAGAATGAGATTATAGGTTCTGGATAACAGGTTTATATCTATTTGAGTAATCCAAAGGTGCTATATACAAATGTCAGGGATGGTTCCTGCTGTCTCCCCTGGTAGCGTAAGCTCCTTAAATAAAGGCAAGGAGAGTTTCATTGTGGTCTTTGTATCCTTAGCATCAACCACAATGCCTGCCATGAATAAATGCTCATTGATTGATTGATTGATCGCTGACATGATGGTCAGTTTCCTGAGGGTCAGAACCTTTGATGGTATCTCTAGAGGCTTTGGACTGGTCCCCAAACTTACTTAAATCCCAAGAACAGGAGCTGGAGCCATATCCAGGATAGCAGCAGTAGAATGATCATGGTGGGAAAGGCAAAACCGAACCAGGAAGCAAAGTTCACCACGCTGGGGTTGTCTGGGAAGATCCTGTAGGGTTGGAGGAGTGACAGTCATTATTTCAATTAGAAATCAGATTACTTCATGTGGTATGGGTTCCTTTTAATTAATTAGCCTTGTTTGATTAGTTGTTTTTAATGTATGCAATATATTGTACGTAAAATATAATGTATAAAATAATATCTTCCCCTGTATTCGGGATCCAAGCTTAACTGAGGAGGTCTGGTCCCACTCTGTTTGGCAATCGTTCCGCATTGCTTAATCCACAGAGGTCATTCAAGGTCTTGTTTCCCTTGCCCACTTCTGGTAGCTTGACCAGCTGAGCCTAACTTGAGAAAACCCAGGGGTCACAGATTCTACCTTTTACAAACTAAGAGGGCATAATCTTCCAGTCTGCTCCTGCCAACCAATGGACAGGGAGGATTATCTTGGTCTGGGCTCTGTACACCATTTTCAGCAATGAAGACTTCGCCTGGTGTGGTCAGTCAAAGGACAGAGGAGCCCCGAATTTGGGGGTTGTGTGTGTTTGTGTATGTGTGTTCGCGTGAGCAGATAAAACCCACCTCTGCCTATCCCCGATGTTTATTTCATCACATCCCCTCCATTTAGTTAAAATAAAATGAGCAAACATTAAGTGCTTGCTTGTCCATGCAAGGATAGAGCTGGATTCTGGAGACAGCAAAGAAAAAAAAATAAAAAGAAACCAACCCTGCCCTCAAGGAGCTTACATTCCACTGGGGACACACAATATGAATACAGCTAGTATAGTAGGAAGAAAACTGAGGAGGAAGAGAACACTGCTTATTAGTTGATTGGAGGATTGGGCATCCGAGCTGAGATTTTAAAGGAAGATAAAAAGATTCAGAGAAATTTCACTAAGAAGGTAGTGCCTTCCAGGGATAGGGGTCATTGTGTACAAATGCATGGAGAGAAGAGATGAAGTAAGGAATTTGGGGAAATCTCATTGGTTCTTTGTCCTTTTAACCTCTGCTATTTGATGTTCCAGGTTCTAGAGTTTCTTTCGTCTCTGCTACTCATTGCTCTATCTCCCAAGGTCTCTTTTCATTCTTGACTGTAGAGGGCATGAAGGGTGAGGAAGGAAGACTAGACAGGGAATGTGGCAGGGGCTAGGGAACGTCAACTATCGGACCTAGGAGGCACCTTAGAACACAGAACATAAGAGGTCATAGGATCATAGAACTAAAATCAGAAGGAACCTCAGACACCATCTTGTTAAGACCACAGCAAAGTTTTGGCAGCCTGGGGGGAGAATGTGGGCTCCTTTTCAGAATATGATTTTTTTTAAATAATTGGAAGAAATGTAAAATTCTAGTTTGATGTTAGTGAAGATAAAGATGGAATGTTTTTTTCTTATTTTCTTTCTTGAAACCTATCTACAGACCCTGGTTTATGGGCTCCGTGTTAAAAATCTAATCCAACTCCCTCATTTTCCAGGGTTGGAAAAGATCTTAGAATGTAGAATACTGAGTATTAGACAGAGGACACCAATAAACAGAGACGGGAGGGAGCATCAAAAGTGGAAAGGACCTTAGCCCAAAGAACGCTGAGAATTGGAGCTGGGAAGGACATTGGGAGATAGAGCCATGACCATCAGAGATGAGAGACACACTTGGACTTGGAACATCAAATATCAGAGGTGGAAAGGACCTTAGAACAAACAACATGAGAGTGTAAGAGCTGGACAAACCCTTAGAATGTAGAACATTGAATATCAGAGCTGAGAAGGACCCAAGAATACAGAACACTGTGTATCATAGAACTGGGAGGATTGGCCATAGAACATAGCCTTGCCCTTAACGTAAGTGTTGTTGGCCCCACGAGGACATCTTGGGACAAGAGTGCCCCGGAGGGGTTGGCGCCTGAGGCCCCATACTCACGAGTTGACTTGTCCCTGTAACACGAGATTGGGGGTGGTGCCTGTCAGTGTGGCTATGCCCCCAATGCTGGCAGCATAGCAGACACCGAGGCTCATGCCCTGGGAGATTTTGAGGTGCTCTCTCTCCTTCTGATGGTAATCCAGTGGCACTGATGGTGGGACGGGGCTGCTATCTGTGGGGTGGAGGAGAAGGAAGGGGGTCAGCGTGGCCGAGGTAAGAGAAAAGAGACCTAGGAGTTGAGAGTTGACTTGGCAAGGGGCACATTTTTCTAAGCCTCAGTTTCTTCTGTTGTAAAGTAATGAGGTTAGTAAGTGGAGATACTTGCCAAGATCTTCCAGTTTGTAATAGAAGGGATGGGCCCTATTGGCCTTTTCGAGGGGGTTTGAGGTTTGTTTAGAGATCCCTAGCTGCCTCTTAAGTGAGGGAATTAAGGGGATTAGGACAGCAAGTGGTTAATTGTGGGAAGTGAGTGAGACTCAATTCTGGAGCTAACTCAGTTCCCTTTCTATTCAATTACGGCTTTAGTCCAACTTCCGTCCTGTGACAAAACTTTATTCAATTGGGAGAAAACTCGTTGTATTGTTTCAACCTAGTCCTGCTATCTGGGGAACTGGACCACCTCTACCCACCGCTTACAGACCCTTAACCTGGGTTATGTTGACCAGAAACCTGGGCAGGTCCAAAGATTGGCACAAGGAATTTTCTCACTGTTGTACATCTTAGGTCACCCAGACATCTCATCTGAAGACTGGCCCTGGCCTGATCAGTCAGTTATGGTTTCCACGTTCCTTTGATTGTTTATAGACACTTGGGGGGAGTGGGACACCTCTTTTTCTGAATTCAGAGAATTGTTATCTTTCCCCCTCTCAATTTGGAAAGTCCCTAATCTTTCCTACAATTAGAAATCAGATTGCCTAATGTACTAATTCCTTTTAATTCATCTTATTTAATTAATTGTTTTTAATGTATACAATATATTGTATGTAAAATATAATGTACAAAATAACATCTCCCCCTGTATTTGGGGTCCAGGCCTAAGCTGAGGAGGTCTGATCCCACTCTGTCTGGCAACTGGCATGCATTACTTAATAAATCAATGTGCTCTGGAGACCCGAACCTTTGTTTCCTCAGTCATTTCATCTTTCACCTGCTACGTAAGGATGGGCCCATTAGCCTGGTGGAGGGTGTTGCCCAATGGACCCTGTGGAAGGAGGTGGATTTCTCTTCCTTGCCTGCCCTTAAAGCCAAGCTCAGGTCTCCCAGCTCGGGAGGGCTCTACTTTGGTTCCATATCATAGAATACTTTGGAAGGACTTGATAGAATGACCTTAGGGTCATAGATTTAGAGTGGATGGACTTTAGAGAACTAGAGTCCAACCCTTACCTTACAGAGGTCCAAGGTCCCAGAGCTTGTCAGTGCCAGACTGGGTCTACACGGCGGGTCTCCTACCGCCCCTCCCCAGCCTCCTCACAACTCCTTTTTCGGGGGCTACACTGGCTGTTCTTCTCTTGGACCATCTTGGGAAGTCTTCCTCTGGCTTCTAGGGATTGTACCATATGTCCCTGTGCCCTCCTTCCCTCCCAGAGCTGAGGCCTCTACAAAGAATCAAAGGCTTTCAGGAAGGGGCCAAGAGCTTTTCTCACCCTTCTCACACAGCTTCTGTGGTTCTTTCTCAGTAATAGGGTAATTAGGCTCCTGGAGCTCAAAGGAGATGTTGACGCTGCCCGCCTCCCTGTCCTTCTGCTCTGGGGCTCTGTGCAGCTGCTCCAGGACGGCATGGGCGATGGGCACCATCATGGCTGTGGTGGCCGTGTTGCTGATCCACATGGAGAGGAACGCCGTGACGATCATGAAGCCCAGGAACAAGCTAGGGAGAGGCATGGTATTAGATCGCCTGGGCCCCTCCCCTCCTTTGGAAAACAGAAACGCAGGGGCAAGCTCAGCCCAGCCCTAGATATAGGGAATCCGGGCTAGCTGGCATTCACCCTATAGTTCTCACCATTGCTCATTCCTCGTGGGTGTAAGTTATGTGTGGGAGTGCACACAGCCAGGCCACAAACCCACCCCCAAGCAGACCCCATCTCCTTCACATACCACAAAGACCCAACAAAGGAAGGAGATGTAATGGGATACCGTGGCACCATCTCACTGTCTGATCTCACACTGAATCACTCATCCCCCACAAGCGCTGACATTCCTTCCACGCTCTGGAACTCACTACTCCCAAGATGGCTTGCAATTCCCTCTGCCATATACAGCAGTACTCCCTGCCTGCCTGACACCCCTAGACCTAGTGCTCCTGCAGAATTATAAAAAAAAAAAAGCTAGCATTTATATATGTGAATATGCACACATGTATGTATATACATATATATATATATACACACACACACACACCCCTACATATATAATCTCTAGGAAGGAAAGGGAGGAAATGAGGCTAGAACCATTTCAATTCAATAAGCATTAAATGCCTATTGTGTCAAGAAAGCTAGGTGATGCAGTGGGTGGAGCATTGGGCTTGGCATCAGGAAGACTCCCCTCCATAAATTCAAATCTGGCCTCAGACATTTATTAGCTGTGTGACCCTGTGCAAATCACTAAACCTGTTTGCCTCAGTTTCCTCATCTGTAAAATGAACTGGAGAAGGAAATGGCAAACTGCTCTAGTATCTCTGCCAAGAAAATTCCAAAATGGGGTCATGAAGAGTCAGACACAACTGAACAATAAAATAAATTTCTCTCCTTTCCAGTAAGAAGTGAGGAGTGCATCTTCCTGGGTAAGCACCGACACTTTAGTATCTCTGTCTCCGTCTTTCTGTCTGTGCCTTCTTCCAGGCATCTCAAACTCCTGGCAGATGAGGGGGGTGGAGCATGGGCATCATAGAATCATAGACCTAGAACTAGAAGGGTCATTAGAGCCCACAGAATTCCACCTCCCCATTTTACAGATGAAGAGACTGAGGCACAGAGAGTTTAAGCGATTTGCCCAGGGACAAACAGCCAGTCAGTACTAGAGGGGGTATTTAAACCTAGGTCTTCCTGACTTCAAATCAAGCACCCTATCCATAGTAACCCCATGGAGACCAGGGGATGATCCCGAGTCCTGCGTCCACCCACCCCACCTCAGTTCCTGCTATGTTAACCCGCCCAGATTCTGCTGCTCCTCCTGGGTTGTGGCATCCTTCTGGACTCACAGTGCTGGCTTCACGCCAATGAAGAGGAGGACCCGGAGAGCGATGCGTTTATGCAGGTTCCAGTGTTCAACAGCTATTGCCATCAGGAGGCCCCCGATGAAGAGGATGTTGGTGTCATTCAAGTACTCCACGCTAACCTGGCGCCAAGACCCCCGGGGAGAGAGGAGAGTGAGAGGCAAAGTGGGCTGTTATCCCCTGCCCCATTCTTAGTGAGGGTTTCTTAGCCTGGAGCTCATGAATTTGTATTTTAACATGTCAACAGCAGTACTTCAATCTAACTGGTTTCCTTTGTAATCCTCTGTATTTTATTCTGTGTCTGAGAAGGGCTCTATAGAGCCCTGGCTTCGCCAGTTTGCTGCCGAAAGGGTCCAGGGCACACAAAGGGTAAAGACTCTTTCTACCCCCCACCCCCAACTATCAGGATAACTGTAGGCTTGGGGGTCCCAGCAGCCTTACAGCTTCAAACATGTCTGATTCTCAATTTTGTGGATTATCTGAAGTGAAATACCAGGCTGGATTCCCCTTGCCCCAGGAATGATTCTGTGTACTCATTGGATGCAGATATTTAAATATTAAATTTAAATCTTATAAGAGACACAATGAGGAAATGAATAAGCAAATGTCATAATGCATCCCAAAGCCAATGTGAATAATTTTCTGATTAATTATTGCTTTAGATCTGTGCCCTCCTTTCTTCCCAAAGAGAGGAGAGATTTGAGAGTTAGCTTCATATATCAAGTCAATTTGGGCCAGTCCTTGACATGCACAAATAACCTGGGTGGGTTTAGGCAAGTTACTTCCCACAGGGATTGTTATGTACTCATTGGTGACCCCAGGTTCTATTTGAGTCTGATACCACTGACATCACTGGTCTAGTGACATCTAAGGCCTCCTCTAGTCTTTAATCAGTGATCCTATGAGCCAAAGACCAGCTTCATTCATCACATTTCTGTCAAATTGCAAAGAGTTCTGCCCAGACTCCATGAAATGGGATGATCTGAACCAATGACCCTGTGTCACATCCTCCCACCCAAAAAGCCTCTGATTCTTGAGGAGTCTTGATGTTTTTCATCTGCTGAATAGAGCTTCTGGGAGCAAAATCAATAACCATGATACTTTCCCTTCTGAAACAGTAAACATGGAATTCTGTGCATATCAAAGTCACTTTCTCCTTTGTAGCTTTAGTATTTCTTGCTCCTTGTCCCCCATCCCATCCCGTTATCCCCCAGACATTTCCTGCCCTAACCGCTCTCTCCCCTCATCCCCTATTTGTATGTATAGGTTCTGTCAGCAAGTTTCAAGCCCCATTGAGTTCCATGGCCAAATAAACTTGAGAAAATGTCAAGAATCAGGAAACATCTAACTATTTGGGGTTAGAGTACAAAATGTCTAGAGGGAATTTTTTTTCAGAGCCTCTATGGGCATTTGAAGTTGTACAAACTCAGCCTTGAAAACTCAATTATGAAAAGCAATAGAAATGCCTTCCAGGGTCAAATCCTTCACAGACTTTCCTCTAGCCTAGGGATGGGGAGGGAGAAAGACACTGAGGGATGGTTTGGGAAAGGAGAGAGTGACAGTTTTTCCTGGATGTCATCATAATCCAAGTAGGTCTTGAGGCTAATAACAACTGCTACTTATGTAGCACCTTAGGGTTGATAATGTTCCCATTTCATGGATGAATCTCAAGAGGTTAGGCGACTTGCCAGTAGTCACCCAGGTAGTAAGTAACTGAGTAACTGGAACACAGAGCTCTCTTATGCCAAGTGCTGTCCACACCATTTCAGCCACAGGGAGGCATCTCAGTTACCTGGGTTCTCCTCTCCCATTTCCAAAAGATAAAGGCTGGCTACTGGCCCAATCCTTTATCTGCAAGGTTGTAACAGAAAGCCCTGGGCTTCTTGGCATCGAGTCATTGATCTTAAAGCTAAGAGGGACTCCCAGAGGACATCTCTGGCCCCTGTTTTTAGGCAAAGAAATTGTCATTATGTCCATTTTACAGATGAGGCTGCCTAGGCCCAGAGAAGTTAAATGACTTTCCCAAGATCATACAGCAATTAAATGGCAGGTGGTGATGGTGTATGTATGTGGTAGGGAGTTGGGTGGAGGGATTAGAATACTTTCTCCTCTCTCCAAATACAATATCCTTTGTACTGGATACAAATGTACAATTTCAGTACTATGCCAGTGTGAGTCCTGAGTCATCAAGCTGAGTGATCTTGGGCAAGTCCTTTTGGCTCTGTGAACCTCAGTTTGGTCATTTGAAAAATGGGAATAACAACAACTTTTCAGGAACAAAGAAGTCCATATCCCAAGTATTTTTAAAAAAGTATTGACCATTCTTAAGGGCTTATGATTACTTCTTATCCAATAGTGTTATCCACCCAACCCCCTTCTCAGACTCCCACTCTCCCCCAAACCCCTCTTGGGAGGTGTGAGTTTGGATTGGTAGGGAGAGGTGGGAGTGAGGAGAGAGACTCACCTCTGATGCATCCATGATGGCCATCATGGGGAAAAGAATGAGGGGGAAAAAGGCAGTGACTGCCAGTGGCAGGGCCTCCATGCACCACAAGAGTGCCATGAGGATGATAACGTAGGCACATTTGGATTCCTAGGGGCAGGAGTAGAGAGAGGGTTCAGGGGACAGAAAGACACTTTTGCTGTCCTGTGCCCCCTCCCAACCAAAAAATTCCCCTAAAGAACCATCTATCCCTGCCCTTCCTTCTATAGGATGACCCCCCCCCGGAGCCCATGGCATGGCTTTCCTCTAGTCTTCATGCTTAGAAATATGGGAAGAGGATAGATTCTTGCTGCTTAAAACTGGTGACAAGATCTTTTGAATAGAGTAGAGATTTAGAGGAAAGAACCAACTTTGAGGGTTTGGAGAGTTGAGGAAAAGGGGAAAGATTGAGTTCTGGTGAGCAGATGAAAACAAAAAATAGGATCTCCCAGCGTGGATGGGGAATCCATCCATTCACCCACCCATTTACCCACCTACCCACCCACCTACCCATCCATCCACCCACAGTCATTTATGAGGCATCCACATGCCAGCCACTAGAGACACAAAAACATAAATAATAGTTGTTGTCCTCAGGGAGTTTCTATTCCAACTTTTCCCCAGGGAGCACAGTTCTGAGGTCTGAGTCAGAGGCCGGGATGGGGCATGGTGAGGGTTGGGAGATTGGACTCCTAAAATCCTTACAATATCAGACCTATAGGCCAAACTCTCCATTATCCTAAGAGGGAACCCACCCACTCCATTGTTACATCCTAATAGAGGAAGATGTCCCTTTTCCAGCTGAAGCTTCCAGGCCTGAATGTGTTATTCAGTGGTGATTGATAAATATTCATAAATTTGGTTTGACTTCTCAGTTAAGAAGGATCCTGGGCAGGGGGGATGGGAACAAGGCTGAAGGGTGGAGAAAGCAAGGGTCATATTGTGAGGAGGGGCAGCAAATGGAAGGGAAAGAGATACAGGGACAGGGACATCCTGAGGGCAGAAGGCAGGGGCAGGGAGCACCCTGGGGGGAGAAGATAAGAACTGGGGCTGGGTGAGGTGGGGGCTAGAGATTGGGGAAGGTCAGCACTACTGAGGGTTTGGGCGGGGGAAGCAGAATATAGTATCAAGAAACTGGAGAAATCTAAGGCTGCATACCATCTAAGGTCATTTGGGAGGGATAACCGGAAAGTATTAGCAAAAATATTGGGCAACTAGGTGGAGCAGTGAATAGAGCACCAGCCCTGAAGTCAGGACCCAAGTTCAAATCCAGCCTTAGATGCGTACTAGCGGTGTGACTCTGGGCAAGTCACTTAACCCAGTTTGCCTTAGTTCCTTATCTCCGAAGTTTTGTCCTTAGGACACTACTTACAGTCAGAGTCCAGGAGCGTCTGACGTGGTGGGAAGGAAGGGGAGGAGTGAGTTCAGTTAGTAGGTGAACAAGCTGGGTAAGAAACCTGAAAGATGGGGGGGGGGCTGAGTTGGGGGGAGGAATAATTCCTCAGCAGATGGGACTGCTTGTCCAGTTTGGTCAATGTTTCTGTGGTGGTGGGTAGTTGGGGTGGGGAAAAGAAACATCTTGAATGCTTCAGAGCTTCTAATCCTGTGAGACAGTTGCTGCCCAATAGGGACTCAGTCCTCTCCCTGCCAGGCCCTGTTTTGGCAGAAGAAAAGTGCAGTTTGTCTCCCCGTCAAACCACCTGACCCTCCTGCTGGACAATAGAGCTGGGGTGGGGTTGGGGAATGGAGGGCAAAGTGGGGCACTCATTCTCCTCAATCCAAGACAGGGCCAGCTGAGCCAGGCCATGTGGGCAGACTTGGTCCCCCCAGCATCCCCTCCCTAGCCTGGGAAGAGGCCCACTCACCAGTTTCCTCCTCCTCCTCATCCCCACTGTGCCCATGGTCCTCTGGGGAAGACCTCAGGCTGCCTTGATCCCAGCCCCATTCTCTACTCCCCCCCCACTCTTGTCTTGTCTTCTGTCCCCAGGGTGGGGGTATTCTGCTGATTCCATGGTTCCTCTCCCTCTAATTGCCTTTGCAATGATTGAACAGCCCAGTTACTCATCGGCCCAGCCCTATCCGCTCTCCTGGCCAAGTGCAGGCAGAGTCGCTGGGGCCCCAGTGGACTCTGTGACCGGACCTTCCCCTCACCCTGCTCTGCTTATCCTGAGGAAGTCTTGTCAAGGTCTCAGCTTCCAGTGGGGAGAAGGGGGAGAGGAGAAGAGGCAGAGTCGGAAGCAGGGTGGGGGGGGGTGGGGACGGGACTGGAGGCTCTCATCTCCCTTCAAGGAGAAAAATTACTTTGCTCCTGTGAACCTCAGTTTGCTCATCAGTAAAATGGGAGTTCTCCCTAAATTTTTACCCTTCTTCCTACCCCCAAGATAACACACCTGGGAGATGAGGCTTCAGCATGAAAGGGGTCTTATGGTCCCTTTTCTGTACAGTCTTCCCCATTCCAATGAAAGCTCCTTGAGGACAGGAACAGTCTAACCTGCTTGTAGTATCTCCAGCTTATTAAATTTTTTATCTGTTGATCTATCTACGCATTTCTCCATCATCTAGGTGGATAGTATCTATTGATAGTAAATAGATATCTATAGATAGTAGAAGGATATCTACATCATCTATTTCTTTCTTTTTATGAGGCAATTGGATTAAATGACTTGTGTTATATGTTATATGTCTGAGGCAGGATTTGAACTCAGGTCCTCTTGACTCCAGGGCAGGTGCTCTATCCATTGAGCCACCTAACTGCCCCTTATATCATTTATTTCTATTCATCCACTCATTTATCCTTCTATCTTTCTATCTGTTCATATCTATCTCCCCATCCATATTGATTTATCCAACCATCCCTATCTTTATTTTCTTATCTACTCTATTTTCCTTTTTATTCATGTACTTATCATCTATTTCCCTATCTATCCACCCACCCATC